ATACTCACACACACTCACACATACTCACACACACTCGCACATACTCACACACACACACACACACACACTCACACATACTCACACACACTCACACACACTCACACACACTCACACACACTCACACACACTCACACACTGTAGCAGGCTCCTGAAAAAATCCACTTACTTAAGTGTTGCTTAAGTGAGGGCTGCAAGTGGTGTCCCAGAATACATAAAGGTATATGGAATTTGAAAAGTATCTAAGAGACAAAAAATAAGTGTGAGAGAAAAATCCGAGTTGGAAAAGTTGATATTTCACAACAAAAGAATGTCAACAACAAAGATGGCCGCCACCACAGGGGAGGACAACACACCAATGTTGTGAATGATTCTCAAGACAAGCTATAATGAAAGGTGGTTTTCTTGCCAGGTTTAGTGATTAATGAGGACATGCTAAAGAGTTGTGAAGAAAAGGTAATTCAGTTAGAACAAAAAAAATCAAGGTCTTTAGATTGAGTTTTGTAATTTAAAAGGAAGTATTTTCCAGCAAGATAAGGAAATGACCAGCTGGACTGATAAGGTAAGGATGCAGGAGGAACGCATCAAGGTACTAGTGAAAGATAATGAGGCATGGAAAGTGAAAAGTGATGAATTTGATGAGATTAACAAGAAAATAGACTCATATGGTGAACAACTCCCAGGAACCCTGAGAGCTAATATAGAGTCAGGTAAGGATATGCAAAGAGAAACTTCATGGACAATGCAAATAGAGGAAGTTAGTAAAGAACTAGCAAAATACAAAGAGGAAATTAAAGAGACGTATGCACAAGTTGTAAAAGAAAAGGGGACGATCAAGAAAGTGTGTTTGGAAGTCAAAACTAAAAATGACCAACAAGAAGCAGAAATTAGGCAAGCAATTAGGAAAGAACTGGTAACCAATGGCAAATTGCTACAAAACACTGCAAATAAAACCAAGTTCATAATAATTTGTGGGTATTTATAAAAGGAAATATCATCAAGAGTGGACAGAGCAGCAGAAGATATGAAATCATTGTGAAAAAAGTAGGTTTAGGAGAAGGTCTAATACAAGGGAAATGTCGGTGATTTTAAGGTATGAAATATGAGAAAGACAAGAACCGCCCCTTAAGGGTGACATTTAATGGAGTGAAACAAATGACGGAAGTGCTTAGAATTAAATGCCATGAAACTGCAGAGTGATGAGGATGATAAACTTTCGTCAATAAGACAAGACCTCTGAAAGGGAGACAGAGAAAAGCTGAAAACAGACCATGTTGAAGTGAAACGTCTAAATGAGAATTGAAATGAAGAATAAATAAAAAATAAGTCTACAAAGTGTTAGGTCCTGGAAAGCCAGTGAAATGGTACATAAAACAAAGCAACAAAATCATTAGAGTAAGGTGGAGTAAAAGACAAAGGGAAAGGGAACATGCTCTTGAAAATTGTATAGAATTGTATAAATTTTATATACTAACATAGAGTGAGAGAAAAAATACTGGAGCCAAAATATATAATTCAGCTTAAGGTCCCAGATATTGGCACACTAACAGAGATGAAACTTGAAGAAAATATTTTAAATGAGGTCGTATTCCCAAGGGGCTACTCAGTTTGGCAACGTGACAGGAAGACTAGGAAGGGGAGAGGAGGGTTTTGCTGGTGAAAGAACACCTAAAGGTAAGTGTGTTAATAATCGACAACCCTCGAGAAGTTGACAAAATGACATTGCAGGTTTGGAATCGGGATGATAACTGATAATTGTAAATGCCTACAGCCCATCAGCAACACATTGACAAAGGAGGAACTGGATGACAAACGAGCGGACCTCATAATGGTCATGAGAGAGATTATATTAAGAGCAGATAAAACAGATCCAGGCCTTTTCTATAAATTCATTAAAAGCAAGCTGCATGTAAAAGATAAAATCCAGAGATTGAGAAAGGGGAACAGGACTACTGAGAATGAAAAAGAAATGTGTGAAATGCTAAATAAACAGTTCCAAAGTGTGTTTGTACAAAATGAGGATTTCAGAGAGTTCCACTCCAATTAATATTCCAGACATCCTTGTGCACAGGAATCTTAGCAGATATATGGAAAAAGGCAAACATAGTACCAATCTATAAAAATGGTAGTCGAGAGGAACCTCTAAATTATAGACCCGTGTCATTAACAAGCGTGGTAGTCAAAACACTAGAAAAAATAGTTAAAGCCAAATGGGTTGAACACCTAGAGAGTAATGACATAATAACGGACAGACAGTATGGTTTTCGAACAGGAAGATCCTGTGTAACAAATCTACTTAGCTTTTATGATAGAGCCACAGAGATACTACAGGAAAGAGGTGGTTGGGTTGACTGTGTCTATCTGGACCTAAATTCTAACTGACAGACAGATGAGGGCAGTAATCAGAGACAATGTATCTGACTGGAGGAGTGTTACTAGCAGAGTACCACAGGGTTCAGTTCTTGCACCAGTAATGTTCATCGTCTACATAAACGATCTACCAGAAGGAATACAGAATTATATGAACATGTTTGCGGATGATGCTAAGATACTGGGGAAGATAGGAGACGCAGACGATTGTAATGCCCTTCAAATTGATCTAGATAAAATAAGTGCTTGGAGCGTCATGTGGCAAATGGAATTTAATGTGAATAAATGCCATGTTATGGAATGTGGAATCGGAGAAAATAGACCACACACAACTTACAAATTATGTGGAAAGGAATTACAGAACTCTAATAAAGAACGAGACCTAGGGGTGGTTTTGGATAGTAAGCTGTCGCCAGAGGAACACACAAAGAACATTGTGAGAGGAGCGTATGCGTCGCTTTCCAACTTCAGACTTGCTTTTAATTATATGGATGGTGAAATACTAAAGAAACTGTTCATGACTTTTGTGAGACCAAAATTGGAATATGCAGCAGTTGTATGGTGCCCAAATCTCAAGAAGCACATAAATAAACTGGAAAAGGTGCAACGGCATGCTACAAAATGGCTTCCGGAACTGAAAAACAAGAGTTACGAGGAGAGACTAGAGGCGTTAAACATGCCAAAACTAGAAGATAGAAGAAAAAGAGGTGATATGATCACCACTTACAAAATACTAACAGGAATCGACCAAATTGACAAAGAGGAATTCCTGAAACCAGCAACTTCACGAACAAGAGGACACAGATTCAAGCTAAGGAAACAAAGGTGCCGAAAAAAATATTAGAAAGTTTTCTTTTGCAAACAGAGTGGTAGACGGTTGGAACAAGCTAAGTGAGAAGGTGGTGGAGGCCAAAACCGTCAGTAGTTTCAAAGCGTTATACGACAAAGAGTACTGGGAAGACGGGACACCACGAGCGTAGCTCTCATCCTGTAACTACACTTAGGTAATTACTGCCTGTCTAGCCTACCCTTACCTGTCTAGTCTACCCTTGCCTGTCTAGCCTACCGCTGCCTGTCAAGCCTACCCCTGCCTGTCTAACCTACCCCTGCCTATCTAGCCTACCCTTGCCTGTCTGACCTGGCTTACCTGTCTAGCCTGCTCTTACCTGTCTAGTCTACCCTTGCCTGTCTAGCCTACCCCTGCCTGTCTAGCCTACCCTTGCCTGTCTAACTTACCCCTGCCTGTCAAGCCTACCCCTGCCTGTCTAACCTACCCCTGCCTATCTAGCCTACCCTTGCCTGTCTAGCCTACCCCTGCCTGTCTAGCCTACCCTTGCCTGTCTAGCCTACCCTTGCCTGTCTTGCCTACCCTTACCTGTCTAGCCTACCTCTACCTGTCTAGTTTAACCTGCCTGTCTGTCGACTTCACTTCTAATGAGATTGTACATCCGGCTGCCTCTCCGTGCGGACGGGTCCAGGAGGCTCTCGGCTTCCTAAGAGGCTTCAGTGTCTTCCTCCTGCATCCGGCTCCTCCCTATCCACTATTCCCTAGCTGGTTCCTGCGTCAAGGACTATATACACATGTTTTTTTCACGAGCTCTCATGGTGGGGGCTTCCTCACGAGTCCTCATGGTAAGGGGCTTCCTCACGAGTCCTCATGGTAGGGGCTTCTTCTCGAGTCTTCATGGTAGGGGCTTCCTCGAGAGTCCTCATGGTAGGGGCTTCCTCTCGAGTCCTCATGGTAGGGGCTTCCTCTCGAGTCCTTATGGTAGGGGCTTCCTCACGAGTCCTCATGGTAGGGGCTTCCTCTCGAGTCCTCATGGTAGGGGCTTCCTCACGAGTCCTCATGGTAAGGGGCTTCCTCACGAGTCCTCATGGTAGGGGCTTCTTCTCGAGTCTTCATGGTAGGGGCTTCCTCGAGAGTCCTCATGGTAGGGGCTTCCTCTCGAGTCCTCATGGTAGGGGGCTTCCTCTCGAGTCCTCATGGTAAAGAGCTTCCTCACAAGTCTTCATGGTAGGGGCTTCTTCTCGAGTCTTCATGGTAGGGGCTTCCTCGAGAGTCCTCATGGTAGGGGCTTCCTCTCGAGTCCTCATGGTGGGGGCTTCCTCACGAGTCCTCATGGTGGGGGGCTTCCTCTCGAGTCCTCATGGTAGGGGCTTCCTCACGAGTCCTCATGGTAAGGGGCTTCCTCACGAGTCTTCATGGTAGGGGCTTCCTCACGAGTCCTCATGGTAGGGGCTTCCTCGAGAGACCTCATGGTAGGGGCTTCCTCTCGAGTCCTCATGGTAGGGGCTTCCTCTCGAGTCCTCATGGTAAGGGGCTTCCTCACGAGTCCTCATGGTAAGGGGCTTCCTCACGAGTCTTCATGGTAGGGGCTTCCTCACGAGTCCTCATGGTAGGGGCTTCCTCTCGAGTCCTCATGGTGGGGGCTTCCTCACGAGTCCTCATGGTAGGGGCTTCCTCTCGAGTCCTCATGGTGGGGGCTTCCTCACGAGTCCTCATGGTAGGGGCTTCCTCTCGAGTCCTCATGGTAGGGGCTTCCTCTCGAGTCCTCATGGTAGGGGCTTCCTCTCGAGTCCTCATGGTAGGGGCTTCCTCTCGAGTCATGGTAGGGGCTTCCTCTCGAGTCCTCATGGTAAGGGGCTTCCTCTCGAGTCCTCATGGTAAGGGGCTTCCTCTCGAGTCCTCATGGTAGGGGCTTCCTCACGAGACCTCATGGTAGGTGGGCTTCCTCACGAGTCCTCATGTTAGGGGCTTCCTCACGAGTCCTCATGGTAGAGGCTTCCTCACGAGTCCTCATGGTAGAGGCTTCCTCGAGACACAAATTTCTTGTAAACAATGAAATTGACAGTTTTTAATCTGATAATCTTCTCCACAGAGTGAGCTGTTAATCTGACTTTGGTAAATAAACACATACAAATCCTAGGTAAACACGCACTCCTGCTGGACTTGAATCCTGTAGAAACACAAGGACTCCTGATACACCAGCCTTCTACAGGAGTTAGTACTCCTGTCTTATCAGAATCCTATAGGAATCAGGATTCCTACGAAATCCGATACACTTCCCTTCTCCTACGGGATTAAACTTGGCAACGAGTACGTTGCTAAGACTCCTGTGTCCTCGATAATCTTAATAGGATGCTGAAGAGACAGGCGTGAGTCTTCACAGGAGTGGTGAAGATCTTATACACGATGATTTAACTATTTAAACACCAATATTTAGGCCATAAGAGTTTGCTGAATTGTGTGATAGGAGCCATTGAGGGTGATTGTCTAAAATGATTAGAGTGATTGTTTCTTTCCTTAAATGATTGTTTCTGCTTTTAGTGATTGTCTCCGACTTCCTATGGCCAGGTTCTGGACTACCTATCGTTAGGACTCCATGCTTCTGTGATTTCCTCTCAGTGTTCCACGTAAAGAATAAGGATGATTGATATCTTGCAACATTCTTGCTGTTTTCGTGTAGGTTTTTAGCTGTTCTCTAGCTGTTCTTTCTGTTATCTTGCAGTTAAATTCTTGTTTTCCTCCTGTTATCGTGGTGCTCTCGTGCTGTTCTGTCGGTGTTATATTATTGTTCTCTCTAACGTATTTGCTCACCCGTGCACTTGCTCCAGCCTTTTTTATTATATTAGGATATCATGTAATCCAGGGCAAGGATTTGTAAGATAAAATTATGAATTAATTTCCCTAAGTAGGATGAATTAAGCTTATGAGTGAGATTACCAATTTTTTCCCCAGCATCGTGTTTTATTAAAATTTTGTAAGAGTTTTTTGGTAAGAGTTAAAGGTAACTCTTACCTTACCTTGAGGTGACTCCTTGAGGGGATTCCGGGGCTTAGCGACCCCGCGGCCCGGTCGTCGACCAGGCCTCCTCGTTACTGGACTGATCAACCAGTCCTGTCAACCTGGTTACCTAGAGCCTTGAGATACGATGGATTTGGTTCCAATTGCTTTTTTTTTTCTTAATTATACTTTTATTTTTGGTCACGAGGTTTTTTTTTGTTTGTTTATAAGTAATTATGTCTGTTTTAATGTACTAAGTTTTATATGATGTGTTAGGCTTTCTCTCTCAGAACCTGACTTTCTCTCTCTCAGGGTGGAGGAAGCATATGTATTATATATATATATATATATATATATATATTATATATATATATATATATATATATATATATATATATATATATATATATATATATATATATATATATATTAGTATATTTTGGTAGCAGTCTTTCCTGTAGACATATATTATTAAATATGACCGAAAAAGTAAGATTAATAATTCTAACACGAATTTTCTCGATCTTTCGTACGTTTCTTTTCACTGTTGGTGGTAATTCAAAAATCAATTCTCCAAAATTCATTTTTATTTCTAGTCTGACGCGACACTTGAGCGCGTTTCGGAAAACTTATTACATTTTCAAAGACTTTAGTTTACACATACACAACTGAATAGAACTTACACATCTTCGATTTGTTTATATCTACATTTGAGTGAGGTGGATGGGGTGAGGTGGTATTAATAGGGTATTAAATTCCTAAACACAAGACAGAACACGAAACAATGGGTATTGAATGGAAGTGATTTGTAGAAAGCCTATTGGTCCATATTTCTTGATGCTTCTATATTGGAGCGGAGTCTTGAGGTGGGTAGAATATAGTTGTGCGTTAATTGGCTGTTGATTGCTGGTGTTGACTTCTTGATGTGTAGAGCCTCGCAGACGTCAAGCCGCCTGCTATCGCTGTATCTATCGATGATTTCTGTGTTGTTTACTAGGATTTCTCTGGCGATGGTTTGGTTGTGGGAAGAGATTATATGTTCCTTAATGGAGCCCTGTTGCTTATGCATCGTTAAACGCCTAGAAAGAGATGTTGTTGTCTTTAGACAGCAACAACTCTCTTTAGACAACAACAACTCTCTTTAGACAACAACAACTCTCTTTAGACAACAAGACAACAGCATCTCTCTCTCTCCCTCATTGCTGAATCATCTGACAAATACAAAAAACTCTCCCACTCACCTCTCTCCTTCCCTCTCTCTCTCTCAGGGTGGAGGGAGCAGACAGACTGGAGTGAGAGTGAGAGTGAGAGTGAGAGAGGGGGACCACCCAGACGAGGACCTCACCTCCTCCCAGGCCTACCAACCAACGTGTCCATTACAGCTGGAAGGTTGGCAATCCTGCCCTGTCGAGTGGCCAACCTTAAGGGAAGATCCGTAAGTAGCAATTTGTGGTTGTTATAGAATTATGTGTATCTCAATTTACCACTCCGTAATAAAGGCGACTGTTTTACCTAACCTAGAAACGTAATAAAATGCAATTGTTTATGTACATACCTAAGTAACTCCTTCTCCTCTAACTTATCGAAGACAATGTATAGAAAACGTTAATATTACGTGGGGGGGCTTTTATTTTCAATTTATTAATTTTTTTCTTTTGCTAAAGCATGATATTTTGTTTTTTAATTGGTTGGTCCATTTCGTAAAAAATGCGACGTGTTAGGTAAGAGGACGGGGATGGTGAGCTTTCTGTCTCTCTCTCTGTGTTTCTGTCTCTGTCTTTATTTCTTTAGCTCTCTCTCTTTCTGTCTCTCTTTTTCTCTGCCTCTCTGTCCCTGCATGTCTCTGTCTCTGTCTCTCTCTCTCTCTCTCTCTCTCTCTCTCTCTCTCTCTCTGTCTTTGACTGTTTTTCTGTCTCTGTTTCTCTATCTGTCTCTGAGTCTGAGTCTCTGTCTCTCTGTCTCAGTCTCTGTGTCTCTGTCTCTCTTTCCTTCTTTCTCTATCTCTGTCTCTCAGTCTCAGTCTCTGTCTCACTGTCTTTGATTCTCCCATTATCTCTATCTCTCTCTGTCAGTCTCTGTCTCTGTCGCTCTTGGTAAAGGAATGATGATTGTTGCAGAGGATTGTAACAATGCCCAGGAAGGCTAGTTGAGCAGCTGTAGAGACTGGAACCTAACAAGAAGGATTGTTCACCTGAGGGTGAACAATTACGCCACAATACGACTGTGGAACAATGTAATAGTTCTGTGAGACCCACTCGCTCTCTTCCCAGCTATGATGTATATTAAGAAAGTTTACTTGAAGCTGTTATTCATTTCAGAATTGTTTAAGTTTCGTCTGGGTCAAAATTTCTGTTGTTAGGCGATTCAAGATGGCTTTTAGCCTTGTCTCTGACGTCATTTCCGTCTTTGCATCACGTGATACGGCTAAGCCAATAGGAATAGGGGGGGGGGGCATCATGGTGAGGTCTGTTTGGCAAAAACTGCCCAATCAACTAATAGCTCAATGACGCATTGCAAGAATCCATGCACCCTATTGGTTCTTGACATCCAATCCTAGTGGGTTATTGGAAAGCCGCGATAAACAATACACAGAGACTAATCGCATCAACGTAACTGCATCAGTGAGAAAATCCGTTTAAGCCGTGATGAGGATTCGAACCTATGCGGTGGGTATTCTCTCCCCCACACACACGCTTCTAGCCACTAGACCCACGACATGGTAAAAAGAATCATAACCTGGAGGTTCTGTTGAACACACGAGGGATTCCTGAGGCTTCTACTGAACCCGAAACAGGATTTTTCACCCAATCCTCCCATGCACTCTGGCTCTGTCATCTAGGAATATCCTAACCTCTGACGCTCCTCTTGCAAACAGTCAGCGAGTAACCACACACTAACGTGACTGCATCAATGATAAAAATCCACCCAACGCATAGCTTCGAGCCCGCATCACGGCTCCTACGGATTTTCTCCTCGAAGACAACCCTGGAAACACAAACCGAAACTGTCTCTATTTTCCGCTTGTTACAACTTGTAATAAAGTTGTTACATCTTGGCTTAACGTGTTTATGACGTATTAGAACGCTGTTACAACTTGCTATATTGGTTTTTATAACTGGTTAGGAGGTGTTAAAACTTGTTCGAACGTTGTACCAACGTCGTAGTTTCGGTGTGTGTTTGGCGGGAAGACCCCATTGGGATATGAGAAAATGATCATTGTTATTAATTCTTTTTGAATTGCACAGTACAAGGAAAATATCTTATATAAAAACACACGCGCTAATTTCCCTCGGGGTTAGACGACTTTTTCATGTGTCAAACATCTTGACTTCTTTGAGTTATTTTTATGTTCTTTGTTGCCTGTTAAGACGATTTTGTGGACTAATTACCATTGTAACAGATCGTTCAAAATACATCAAAGAACCAGGGGGGTAAATTCTGTGGAATTCCAAGTCAAATTCTGAACAATTCTGGTCTGCAGCGGCTTTTCTAGGGGTCGGTGGCTCAGAATTATCCTTTTATTCAGCCTTCCTACCTCCCACCTGCTGACTCCCGCCTACCCTGTGTCCTCTCCTGACACCAGGGAGCGTCAGAGAGTACCAGGGGGCGCCAGAGAGTCACAGGTGGCGTCAGAGAGTACCAGGTGGCGCCAGAGAGTACCAGGTGGCGCCAGAGAGTACCAGGTGGCGTCAGAGAGTACCAGGTGGCGCCAGAGAGTACCAGGTGGCGTCAGAGAGTACCAGGTGGCGCCAGAGAGTACCAGGTGGCGCCAGAGAGTACCAGGTGGCGTCAGAGAGTACCAGGGAGCGTCAGAGAGTACCAGGTGGCGCCAGAGAGTACCAGGTGGCGTCAGAGAGTGCCAGGGAGCGTCAGAGAGTACCAGGGAGCGTCAGAGAGTACCAGGGAGCGTCAGAGAGTACCAGGTGGCGCCAGAGAGTACCAGGGGGCGCCAGAGAGTACCAGGTGGCGCCAGAGAGTACCAGGTGGCGCCAGAGAGTACCAGGTGGCGCCAGAGAGTACCAGGTGGCGCCAGAGAGTACCGGGGGACGCCAGAGAGTCACAGGTGGCGTCAGAGAGTACCAGGTGGCGCCAGAGAGTACCAGGTGGCGCCAGAGAGTACCAGGTGGCGCCAGAGAGTACCAGGTGGCGCCAGAGAGTACCAGGTGGCGTCAGAGAGTACCAGAGGACGCCAGAGAGTACCAGATGGCGTCAGAGAGTACCAGGGGACGCCAGAGAGTACCAGGTGGCGTCAGAGAGTACCAGGTGGCGCCAGAGAGTCACAGGTGGCGTCAGAGAGTACCGGGTGGCGCCAGAGAGTACCAGGTGGCGTCAGAGAGTACCAGGTGGCGCCAGAGATTACCAGGTGGCGTCAGAGAGTATCAGGGGACGCCAGAGAGTAACAGGGAGCGTCAGAGAGTACCAAGGGGCGCCAGAG